CACAAACTTGTGTGGATTTACTGAGCCGGAATTGGCAAAACCGAAAGCGCGGAGACTCGGTGTGCCTGTTAGACCCTCCGCCTCCATCCGCTCGAGATTGAACAATCAACATCGTGTCAGACTACGGTCGGCCCAGCATTTAGGCGCCTAGAGCTTGATAAATCGGCCGAGCAAGTCTCAGCGTTCGGGGTCAGAGGGCACTGAATTAGCAGCCACTGAGGCGTGCACGCGGGGGCTGCCGGGAAGCCAGAGGTCTGGTATCATTAATTTATGTTAACATCCTGCGCCGCCAACTGGATGCATTTTGGAACGCAGCTGCAAACGGTTCAAAGGTTACAAAGAACAATTATCGATAGATCATATGATGCGTATGTCTCTGGGATCATGTCACCTATGCCAGGATCGTATTCCCTCTGTTACAGTTATATTTGACGCTAAACATCGGAGCATGCAAAGATATGCTACTACAGCGTATTGGCGCGATCGGATGAACTTGCTCAGGGCATTCGAACGCAATTCCAAGGGTGCCCTTGAGCCCTACACTCCTTCGCCGAGCAGAGCCTGTTAACTTACCAAAACAGAAACAAAAATGTGCCTCGTGTACCACAGACTGAACGCATCTCAAGGCACAGCCACTGGTTCGGCATCAGCAAATCGTGACACAAAAAGACATGCTTTGCCGCGAGCACCCACAGGTGAGTGTATCTGAGATTGTGCCACTGTGTGGCAGGACTTGTGTATGACTCGAGCTGATTCATGAATCGGTTCATAAGCAAACGTTTTGGGGTGAGTCCTAAGCTAAGTCGGCTCACTAGGAAACACAACGTACAGCCTCATATACGGCTGCACCTTTCATGCGGCGCCCTAGAAACAAAAGGAATGGGTCTACCTGTATAAGGACTCCATCTTACTTGGTACAGTGTCATGTTTCATGTCGTAGACCACGCCACGGAGGAAGATATAAACGTTTGCCCGCTTCACTGCATTAATAGAACAAAGTCCTCATTTCCCGACCCATCTCTTTTTGTTCTCTTATCTCGTGCTTTTTGATCGACCCGCACACGAATTTTGCGTAGTTTGAGCTTACGGCGCGCTGGTAATGTGGCGTCCATTGCACATAAATCTGATTATAGGCGACGCCAACAACCTCCAAAGTAGCGCCAGCGTCCACCGTAGCGTGATCCGTGACATGCATGCATGCCAGATGTCATGCTACCATACCCAGCGGTGGAACAGGCGATTCCGCTGTTAGGACATACTTTAAAGTGACAGAGTTCATAAAATCGCAACTTTCTCGTCATTCGGAAAGTTACTGATTGTTTTGGTGGACGTATTCCTGTTAAGAGCTCAGGTACTATTTGGTTTACCAGGCGACAGTTATGACGAAATACGGCTTTATTATGATATGATTACCGTGCACTTATGCAAACCGATATCCACACTGCGTTTGTGCTTAGCGGCGTCCACGAGAGCAGAGGTTAAGGACAAGTGGTGTCTTAAACAAAATGCAGCCACTGGTCTCAGTGGCAACAGGCCAGGCGGCGAAATGTTGACGTTATGGCGTCGCCTATTTGCAAAACATCGTTGCCAACGCTGCATGCCCGTCACAGAGTTGCACGTTGTAATCCTGATGATCTGCAAAAGTTCATTAACAAGGTTTCTATCTTGTTCGCGTGAGCTACCTTGTCCAGGAGAAATATCACCTTAACCAGCTTTCGGAACTAGGTAATAATGATCGGGCCTTATGCCTCACCAACTGTCAGGGTCATTTCGAGACGGGTACTTGTACCATATCTTTCCGGAACTATGTAATTGTATCCAAGAGGTACGTACATACACCTCCCAAAACACACCGGCTGAAAACGTGTTACAACCACGTGCAACTGAGTTGCACACGTACACCTTCCAAAACACACCGGCTGAAAACGTGCTGCAACCGCACGCAACTGAGCTGCATCGTAGCAGTGGTAAGATTAATTTCATTACCATGGAAAACGCGCGACCTGCAATTTGCAAAACATCCGTACAGCAGGCTCGACCCGCAAGGTCACGAGGGCATGGTGATGACCTACGCCGCCTGTGACGGGTCGGCCCATCGCAAACCAACACCGGCAAGTAGGAAAGATGCCAAATGGAAACCGGATGCATAGCCTACGCGAAAGCACCGTCTACAAATTGCCTGGGCGGCTTGACCCTGCTCGACCGGCACGTTCGGCACAACCTGCAGGGGTAACGGACCATCCCGTTTTCTTTTGAACATCGTCCTCAGTGCAACCTCTTGACCCCAACAGCACGAGCGCTATGCCCTTTTACAACAGCGTACCAATGACAAGCTCCATGAGGCGTCGGACGGGCGCGGCAGACAACTAGACGCAGGAGTGTTGCCAGTCCCCATCCTGAGGACGTTCAACAATCTGAGCTGATGCAGCCATGCATCTCAAAGGGAATGCTCCACAGTGGAAGATATTTACCAAGCATTACATATGATGAAATAAGATCACTTATAACTGTTGGCATACTTTAAAGTGGGAGACACTGGTCTCGACAACCCATTGCTCTGTTTAGTAAATATGACCCACAATACGTCATTGCTTGATTGCGTCATCGTACCTTGCACAACATTAAACGCGAGCCAATTAACGGCAGTTTTATCCGGAAATCGTGCCCACGAACGACAGATACGAACAACTAGACATTTATGTTTTGATTGGCCTCGGTCGTCGCATAGCTGACGGAACGGCAGGATTTGAATGACGTTATTATGACGTTATGGGCGCCTAGGTGGCCTTGAAATAGTCTACCCAAAAAGTCCGCACACCTTCGCGGGCGTGCAGCTCATAAAGAAGAGGTTCAAGTTTTAAGCAGGGCAGGGTTGTGAACCGCACCGAATGATCTTCAGGACGGCTATTTCGATACAAAACAAATGTAGAACACTCGGTCTTCGCAGCGCTGAATACGTGGATGTACGCTGTTGTAACACTGGCTCACTAATTTGCAGGTCACGATGCTTGAAAACTGGCAGTCATTGGTCCGAGTAAGCCTGGAAATTGCAGTCCACGAAGTTCAAAAATTTGCAGCTTTATGCAATCCAGTTAATCATGACCAAACATTGTGAAAATAGTAAATATTTCGGGTGGTATTGGTTAAGACGAACAAAACTCCACGCCTATGTCATTATCATACTAACCTTCCCCAGTTTATGCCCAAGCGCCTAGTATTCGAAATCTGTTTTGAAAAAGGTGGCGTTGGAAACCTTCCCGATAGGTTGCCTGCAAACCTCTGTTTCGAAGTTGGGGATCTCTTCGCAAATTGTCACCGCAGCATCTGGAGTCACCGTTCAGACTGGCATTTGCATTCGCTCTCGTTACTGAGATGAGGTGTACGTATTTAAAACACCCCAGTGCTGACAGATCCAGACCGATCTGGCTGACCCGCACAGTCGTGCAACTGCGTCCTTCGTTAGTTCCAACAAGATGGCCAAGTGGAGACCATACAGGCGAATCGAATACATTTTGACTGGCATTCACCGCATTAGTTTGGAATTCCGCAACGTTACAGTCCATGCCAGTGCAACGGCACACCAGGCTGCAAGTTCATCTATTTGGTCGGTGGCAAAATCATGCATACGAATCTAAGTCAAGATCGTGAGAATGCATGAGTCCTGAAATCATTTGGCCAGGTGCTTCAAGTTTTATGTCGTAAAGGCAGCGTCGACCGAGGTCCCCGTCACCTTGCTTCTTTCTCTCCTAACACGACACATGCCTACACTAAGCTCATGATTTGGGTCTGAGGCGTGCACTGTGCACCAACAACACGGCGATTCCCACATTCCCGCTTTACAAGGCGCAACACCTGGAAAGTACCGACGACCGCGGAATAAGGCGAAGGTGTGCCGCAGCAGAACGTCTACCTCCGTGCGGCCCGAGGGAGCGAGCTCGGCCGGCCGCTCTGAGCGTCGGAGCGCGCGCGCAGGCGGGGGCGGTCCACCTCCGCGCGGCCCGAAGGAGCGAGCGCCGCCGGCCGCTCTGAGCGCCGGAGCGCGCGCGGGCGGGGGCGGTCCACCTCCGTGCGGCCCGAGGGAGCGAGCGCGGCCGGCCGCTCTGAGCGTCGGAGCGCGCGCGCGGGCGGGGTCGGTCCACCTCCGTGCGGCTCGAAGGAGCGAGCGCCGCCGGCCGCTCTGAGCGCCGGAGCGTGCGCGCGGGCGGGGACGGTCCACCTCCGTGCGGCCCGAGGGAGCGAGCGCGGCCGGCCGCTCTGAGCGCCTGAGCGTGCGCGCGGGCGGGGTCGGTCCACCTCCGTGCGGCCCGAGGGAGCCGGCGCGGCCGGCCACTCTGAGCGCCGGAGCGCGCGCGGGCGGGGGCGGCCCACCTACCCTGGTGGCCTGCAGGTGGCGCAGCTTGTCAACCATCAGGCCGCTGCTGATGCGGCGCGTGCCCGGCTCGATGCCCAGCTGCAGCAGGCGCTCGTTCAGCTCGGCCTCGGGGTCCTGGCGGCCGCCACCGGACCGCAGCCTGCAGGCACCGACAGCCGGACGTCAGTCGGCGGCGGCGGCGGCGGGCGGCGCGCCCCGCGTCAGTCACAGCCGGCCGTCTCCTGCCGCTCTGGCTGAGACCGGCAGCGCTCGCACGTTGGCCGCACGGTCGCGACCGGCCTCCCTGGCAGCCATGGCAGCACACCACACAGCAGATGGGGAGGGAGCGTGCACGCGTTATGTTGATTGCTTGCTCGACGCAGCGTTAAGTGTTCTGATCACTCAGACTTCTGTCAGTTTGCAGCACGCGGTGGCACCGTGCAGTGCTGGCCGGTCTGCCAGCCGCCACGTCAGCCGTCCAGGGCCGGTCGCTGGTGAGACAGCCGAGGCGCTGGACAGCATCGAGCCCGGCTGTCCCCTGGAGCAGCTGGAGCCCGGCGGGCATGGGGCACACCGCTCCGTCAGGTACGCTCCAAGCGTGCCCTCTCCATCAGGGGTGAAAGCGCCCCTATGAGCCGACTTGACACTCTCATGGCCGAAATCCTGGCCACGCCACGGAGTCAGCCACATGAGCTACAGCGCAAGACATTAACAGAGCTACCTCGCAAAGAGGATTCATTCGGGTCCCATAGAGCGTACAAAGCTTAACGTACTGATGAATCACATTTGGCAAAACGTCCGCCCCGCAAACACTGTTCTAATCACTTCCCAGATCGCCTTACCCATTTCGACCCAGCGCCGAGCTGGACAATGATTCCCTGGTCACATTGCGGCTGCCCATCTCGTCTTCCTCTTCCTCGTCATCATCCATGCCGTCATCAGCGAACTTCAGTCGGCGGCAGCCGGACGCGGAGCGGGACCTCCTGCAGCCAATAGGGTCCTGCTGCTATGCATGCCCTAATCGGGACGCCCAGCAGCCGACACTGATATGTACATGCGGCTAGGTGTATGCACATAATGTCACATGCACTTCTATTGTGTGGTTCTCAAAATGAGTCGATATTATGAATGCCTGTGCCCGAAAAAGTAATGAAAAATATTATTCCGCACCTAAATCAGCAGCATCCCTGCCCCGCTCTCCTCCACAACTAAGCGCAGGTCACGCCACACACCCACTGTGGTCGGCGGGCGTAGGGCCGCGTGACTCGGCCGCGGTGGCCGGGTCCGCGGGGAGCCACCACTGACCTCTGCGACCGGGAGATGCATGGCCGCGGCCGCTGGCGGGCGGCGCGCGCCGCCGGCGCTGCACCAGCTGGAGACGGCGACTGGTGCCGGTGGACGTAACGCAGCAGGCGAGGCGACTGTTCAGGCCCGCTGTCGATGTTGACGTACTCGGCGCTGCCTGGCGACGGGGGGGGGGGGGGGGGGCACGTCAAGGCTGGAGGGACGCGTCCGTCCCAAACCCCGTGCCACGCGGCCCCACGGTCGGCGCATTGTAGTGTGCGCAAAACGCAGGTGTGGGAAACATGGGATGGAATGGAATACAGCCCGAAGAGAAACAGAAGCAGACGCATGACAACCACTGGGGCTTATAAATTTGGCACGTTATTTACGGTGTCCTGCAGTTATTTTAAAGGGGTGAGAACTGCCCCCAAGATCACTTTTTACCTCATACAACGTAAATTGCAACAAGCTCTTCTGAATCATTTAGTATACCCTTTTTTGTCAGGACCATAGCTCTTGAAACTGCAATATCTATGTGAATTTCTGGCATTACAGTGGAACCTTTGGGAAGGAAGCGTGTGAGATGATGAGAAGTGGCATTACCATTATGACAGCTTTTGCGAAGAGCATCACAGCGCAATACAATGCGTGAAACAAGCATTATTTGGTTTGTTCGGGATTTTCTGGCGCTGAAACGCCGGGAGTTTTTAATCAAGATGTTCTCACCTTTTAGGCAGAAAAAGGAAGTCTGAAGAGGGCCGTGCAATCAAAATGTCGTACACGTCGACAACATGTGATTCAAATATGCCCACGAATGTCACGTGACAGTCCTGAAGACCAGATTACCACGATCTTCCGGATCAGTTCAATAACAAGCGCAAAGGAAGTAACCAGTGAGTGGAAACTATCTTCTATGATGTGCTATTTTCTACACCGAGTGGCTACCTGTACACCAATGTAGAGATCTCCTGAAACACTACGGCACTAAATCTCCCCACCCACATACGAGCATTATACACAGTCTTCGCACATAACATTACCATCAATATCTCCTGTGACATCAGCAAAGGACATGTTTACAGGCATACAAATGATAGCGGCCAAGCATTGCTGCACCATGGTGGCCTGTGGTTGATTGTCCCAGTAGTGGCCAGCTATCGTGCCGTAATGTAATGGAAGGTAATCTGATCTAGCCTTCTGTACCCTACTCTAACCTAGCCTGTCCAAAACATATCAGCCTCTCCATAGCAATCCTAGCCCGCTCATGGCTGGACATAACTCTGCCCTGACCAGGCCTAGCTGTCTCATGGCCAGACCAAGCCCTGACCCCACCTCACATGCTCCTTGCTCCTGACCAGATATCACCACAGACATGTCCTCACCGTACCCCCCGCTCATGACGAGACCTCCCCACTCCTGACCAGACCTCTCCACTCCTGATCAGACCTCCCGCTCCTGGCCAGACATCACCACAGACATGTGCTCACCGTACCCCCCGCTCATGACGAGACCTCCCCACTCCTGACCAGACCTCTCCCGCTCCTGACCAGACACCACCACATGCATGTCCTCACCGTATCTCCCGCTTTTGACCAGACCTCCCTCTCCTGACCAGACCTCTCTCGCTCCTGACCGGACCTCTCCCGCTCCTGACCGGACCTCTCCCGCCCCTAACCAGACATCACCACATGCATGTCCTCACCGCACCTCTCACTTTTGACCAGACCTCCCGCTCCCGACCAGACCTCTCCCTCTCCTAACCAGACCTGCCCCGCTTCCGACCAGACCTCTCCCTCTCCGAACCAGACTTGTCCCGCTCCTGACCAGACCTCTCCCGCTCCTTACCAGACACCACCACATGCATGTCCTCACCGTACCTCCCGCTTTTGACCAGACCTCCCGCTCCTGACCAGACCTCTCCCGCTCCTGACCAGACATCACCACATGCATCTCCTCACCGTACCTCCCGCTTTTGACCAGACCTCCCGCTCCTGACCAGACCTCTCCCTCTCCTAACCAGACCTGCCCCGCTCCTGACCTCACCTTCCACTCCTAACCAGACCCACTCCTGAACAGACTTCTCCACGCATGACGAGGTCCGCCCGCTCCCGACCAGACATCACCACACGCAGGTTTTGACCAGACCTCCTCGCTCCTGACCAGACCTCCCTGCTGCTGACCAGACGCACCTCGCGTGGCGGCGCCCTTGTCCTGGAGCATGAGGCGCATACTCTCCACCTCGGCGTCGTGCCGCTCTCGCATGCAGCGCAGCTTGCCCTGCCAGTAGCGCTCCTGGGCCTCCATCTTGCCCTCCAGCGCCACCACCTCACGGCGGGTCTGCCGCGGACAGGGGCCGCCGTCAGCAAGGGACGGCAGTCAGCAAGGGCGGCAGTCAGTCAGGGACAGCAGTCAATGAGAGGCAGCACTCAGTCAGGAGCGGCATTAATAGTCACGGGCAGAGGTCCGCAGCGGGAGCTTGTCAGCCAGGGGCGTGACGGAGTCCGGGCGGGGCAGAGTCAGGGATCTATCCGGGGCAGCATAGCTACAGACAGTAGAGTGACCAGCGTTTAACATTCTTCCAGTTGAGAGTGCAGGATGTAAATGCAAAATAATGCTACCAGAATCCTGGCTCTCCAGCGATCCCTGAATGCGATTCGTCTACGCTAATCCGTCGCCCCTTGACCCCAACCTAGACATCTGACCTACTCAGCCCATTTGTCAAGCCTGAGGCGCGTGGATACCGGTTTGACAGCCGCCCGCTTCGATGCTGATTGGCCAGTTTTGAGCAAGAGGAGGGGCCAAAGGCAGTGAGCCCAAAGCCAGGGTATCATCGCATGAAAAACATTGACATCCGTGCCACCTAAGTGGCCGAATATTGGAGCACTGAGAGTAACGGACAGAACACGATATGACAGCCCAGTCTGGGGCGGCGGTCTGAGACAGCCGCGGCCAAGTGACAGAGAGCAGGGCAAGCCAGGCACAAGAAGGCACGACCGAGCCAGGACATAGCCAGGGGCGGCAATGCCGGGCGGCCCAGTCTGGGGCGGCAGTCAGAAATAAGAAACTGCAACAAGGGATGTCAGGGACAGACTCCGGCGGTTTACCAATGAGCAGCAGACTCACGGCCGCGACAGCCAGGGACAACACAGCAAGGATGGGCTTCCATTTCTCCTCAACACGGAAGGACCGCATTGGCGTCAGAGGTGACAATAATGGTCAGCACAGGTACATATCTATCCGCCGCGAGCAGAGTAAGGTCGAGTGCACGAGCCGCCGGCGGTCGAAGCCGTCGCTGACCCACCTGCTTCTGCAGCTCGCGCTCCATCCGGCTGGTGCCGCCGGCGTCCGAGTCAGGCAGCGGCCCACCAGCCAGCTGCACCGCCTGCTGCGGCATCAGCTGACGCTGGCGGTCCAGCTCCTCCCGCAGCTGCCGGCCGGTGGCCACGAGTCAGGGTCACCAGGGGGCAGGGATGACACATGCACGCGCGCGCGCGCGCGCACACACACACACACACACACACACACGCACGCACGCACGCACGCACGCACGCACGCACGCACGCACGCACGCACGCACGCACACACACACGCACACACACACACACACACACACCAGAGGTCGCAGGCGGGGGGCCGGGGATCGGGGCGGTGCCACGCTGCTCCCAACGGAGGCGGGTCCCACAGCCAACCGGCCACGCCGTCTAGGACTGCAGCACCTGCCACACAGCAGCGGCCTGACGCGTCCGGCCCGGCGCCAGCAGCGACAGACACCGGCCGCGTCTGCCGGCCGGCGCGGCGGAAGGGCCGCCAGGCGTCACCCACCTGCTGAATCTCGGCCGCCTGCTGATCCAGCAGCGCGGCCAGCCGGTCGTCCGGCCGGCTGGCGGACGGCGGCGCAGAGGGTGGCGCTGAGCCCGCCGCCGAGCCGGACCCGGACGCCGGCGCCGAGCCCGGCGCCGAGCCCGCCGCCGAGCCCGCTGCCGACGCCGGCGCTGAGGTCCGAGCCGGGTCGGCCGGCGGCGGCGGCGGCGGCGGCGGCGACGAGGGCGCCGCCGGCGACCCTGCCTCCTCCTGCGGAAGCGCACGGTGGAGCTATCCGTACAAGGGCGTCGTCTCCACACAGTGGGCGTGGTTTCCGGACCCACCGTCCGAAGCTTGGGCCGAACACGCCACAGACCACACCCGGCGCCAGCTGAGCAGCTCCAGATCGCCTGACCTGCTGCGCGCTGAACGCCTCCAGGCACGGCCAATGGCGACGACATTCGCTCCGACGTTGTACCGCTGGTATCGTTAGCAAGATGCTTCGTAATGACATACCCTAAGTGGCGGGAGTAAGTCAACGTAGGGTGACCCGTCGTTTTGACTGTCAATTTGCCGACGATGCGCGAGCACGCGATGTTAACGACCGCGTCTTTCGCCTAACCACTTAGTGCAGAGAAGTGACGCGCTGCTCTACTTCCAAGGGCACTGGTAGTGTAGCGGTCAAGCTGCCCGTCTGAGAAACCATGGATGCGGGGTTCGATTCTCCTCGGTGTCCGCCCTTCCTGACATGGTGAGAGGCAGGCGACGCCATTTCGTTCAGCAGCTGAGTGCGTCATATAGCACCAAAGACAACGACAACCGTCTTCAACCGCTGTTGGAAGGGAGTAAGAGTCCTCCACAGGCAACGACACATCTAGACACATCCAGTTTTCCAGGTCCAAGTCGAACTGATGCCGATGGCTGGCATGGCCCCCTGCCGGGCGGTGGCTCCCCTTCGTTATCGTCATCTGCGCCAGAGGCTGGAACGAGCCCCCTCCCAGATGGTGACTCCCTCCGTTACTCTGACCTGCGTCGGCGGCTGGTCGGAGCCCCCTCCACGATGACTTCCCCCCCCCCCTTACCTTGACCTGCGTCGGCGGCGGATCGGAGCCGCCCTCCAGGGCCGAGACGCGGCGCCTCTCCTCCGTCAGCTGCTGCTCGGCCACCATCAGCCGCTGCCGCACCTGCTCCAGCTCGGCCTCCAGAGTCCGCTGCTGCGGCTGGCGGCACGTGACCACAGCACAGGTTACGGCCACGCCTGGCAGCCGACACGACCGGCGACCGGCGAGCGTGTCCGCACCGCCGCCACGCCCGCGAGCACTAACAGGAGCACGATCATGGACACACGCACACACACACACACACATCGCAGTTTATTAGAACGTGAGCGGCGGGATGGGCGGGTCCGCCAGTCCAGCTGCACGGCTCTCTTCGTCGTTCTCTGAGCGCTGAAAGTTACAATTCTTCGCTGATTCGTAGTGTTCGGACCAATCACGGTAACCGACCCCACTCCGCTTCGTATGGCCTCTGCCGGCGTTCAAACTGCGGCTGCAAGAATTGCACTCTCTGTCTTAAAACACGTTACGTATTCTACGTAACCGTGCCGGTACACGGCAATGCCGTGACACCGTCCATCGGTGTACCCGGCGCCACGGGATCTCTTGCCAGGCAGGGGTCCCCGGCGCCACAGGATCGCCAGCCGGGCGGGGTGTACCCGGCGCCACGGGATCTCCTGCCAGGCAGGGGTCCCCGGCGCCACAGGATCGCCAGCCGGGCGGGGTGTACCCGGCGCCACGGGATCTCCTGCCAGGCAGGGGTCCCCGGCGCCACAGGATCGCCAGCCGGGCGGGGTGTACCCGGCGCCACTGGATCTCCTGCCAGGCAGGGGTCCCCGGTGCCACAGGATCGCCAGCCGGGCGGGGTGTACCCGGCGCCACAGGATCTCCTGTCGGGACTCACCTGCTCGTGGCCGACGGTGGATAGCGTCTGGTTGCTCATCTGCTTGGACACCATGTGGTTGTGACGCCTCATCATGTGCGACTGCAGGTACGTGGTGTTGATGAACACCTTCTGGCAGAAGTGGCACTGTGGGACGAGGGCGGACGCGACGGTCGGTGACCTCGACCTCCGTAGCCGCTCAGGGCGCCCGGAGGCGGATATCGCTCTGACCAAGGACACGACGCCCTTCACACTGGGGGTCCGAAGTCGAACGCACGACCAGTGAGCCATCGCCCTGCTGTACGCCCGACGAGGAGCGTGATGGCGGAAATCAAGTAAGTCGCACCGGTCCTGATCACCATCGACCATTTCCCAGCCCCGTGTAACTACGGTGCCAATCGGTGCTGCAAATCCCTGACGACTGCAGCGGTGCCCACGTCACCGCCTGCACTGCGTCTCGAACCCACGACCCCCCGATCCCCAGCCGAGCGCGCTTAGCCGAGCGCACGCGTCTCGGGGTCACCTACCCGCTGGTGGCCGGTCAGCGTCATGACGGTGGAGCTGGTGGGCGCGCGCAGGCCCTTTCGCATCTCGCGCAGGTCCTCCTGGTCGCGTCGCGCGCGGGCGTTGGCCGCGTCCAGCTCCTGTCGACCGGCGCGGCCGGGTGATGGCGGCGCGGTGAAGCGGGTACGGGGCGGTAAGGTGACGCGGTAATGCCGGTATGGGGTGGGGCAGGGGAGGGGGCGTCACGAACCAGAGCAGCTCCGCAGATGGCGCAGGTCCGAACGCCGTCCAGGACAGGAGCGAGGGACAGCACTATTCAGCACACACATTCGGCTAACAGCGCATACCCAATCAATATCAGGTTCCGGGTCGGTGTGATGACATTAATCGGAGTACTGGATTGCAGCTGGCGACAGCGGACCGAATATCGAACGGCAGCTCGTCCAAAACGAAGCGCACAAATCGATGAGTGTTCCATACGGGAGTTCGTAAACGTGTCGTCTCCGTGGCAGTACCTGCCAAGGTAGATGGTTTGCTTGTTGGCCTCTATGTCGGCCGCACATCATCCGCTTTCCTTAATCGATCGATTTATCAGCTAGTACAAACTCAACGCACACATTCACCGCGCACACAACAGCGCACCACGCGCTCCCTCGGGCACGCCACGCGCGCGCCAGCTCGGCAGCCAACCTCGAGCGTCGAGTTGAGCCGCTGCTCCACATTGGCTAGGTTGTTGGCCAGGAAGTCCTGGCTCTGCAGCAGGTACTCGATGATCAGCTGCGACAGCCGGAACACCTTGACCAGGTTGGGGTCGGCCGTGGCCGCGTCGAACTCCTTGGTGGCGTCGCAGTAGGTGACCTGGCGGATGCTGTCCTGCAGCGCCTTGTAGTCCACCGTCTTGGTGATCTGGTCCACGTCCAGCGCGGCTGCCGGAGGGCGCGCCTCTCGGTCAGGCACGGGGCAGCCGAGCGCGCAGCGGCGGGTCACGGCCAGGACCACATCCGTACCCGGGACACGAGCCTGATAAGAGGCCAACCCAAGTCACGCAACTGTCTGCAGAGAGCGCAGCGCTGAGGCGCGCTACGAACACATATCGTGTGAACCAGGCCTGGGGCTGTACCAAGTCAGGTTGTGTCGGGATAACTGAAAAACGTGACGGACGACGCCCATTCGTCGGGATGCCAGTCCTTAACGAAACGTGGCAGCATCACGTTGCTTTTATCCACCGATGCATGAAGCCGTGCATGATTCTGCAGCTAACGAGAGAAAGTCTCAGCCGCCGCAGCACTCGTACCCAGCTTCTTCCAATCCAGCTTCTCCTCGCGTCTCCGGAACTGGAAGTTGGGTCGCTCCATGGCCGCGGGGCGGTGACGCCGCCGGCGCTAGTGGATGGCGTTGAGAAGGTCACGTAGCTCGTGATCAGACACGGTCGACTCGTCGCACTGGCCGAGCGCGCGGGCGATCCGGGCCGCCAGCAGGTGTTTGCAGAGCACCTGATCACCGCTGCCGACACGGCCACCGGCGGTCGGCGAGCAGGCCACAAACTACGGGTACTGACCGAGACGATGCTCACTCACTGCCGCATGACGGCAGGCGGCAGCCGGGGCAGTGTTCACAACGCACGTGCCGCTATACATGTGTCCGCCAATCTGGATCACTGCAGCAGATGAGGAAATACATAAACGGGAACGAGAATAACGAAAGGGCAGCATTCAGGCCGAGCAAAGCTGAGGTGGGAGCGCGCCCGCACACTAGCGCGGTCGCAAAATGCGACACGCCAGCGCGCACATCACGACCGCGAAACACGCGAGAGCGGCCGCGGCGCCACCTACCGATGTACGGCCGAGTACTGGAAGGCCGGGCACGTGCAGTACAGTAGCGTCTGCAAGCAGTAGTAGGGCGCACCCGAGCTGCCCAGCACGCGGTAGACGGCACGACCGGCCGGCGCCCGCAGCCGACTGACGGCGCGCCGGTCCACCAGGTCCAGCGCCGGCTCCAGCAACGCCGGCAGCACCGCCTGTAGTGCCAGCAGCAGCTCGTCTGGCAGGTGGCGCTGCTGCTCGTGCGCGGCGCGCAGCTGCTCCAGCAGGGTGTCAGCCACCGACAGCACGTCCAGCATAGCAGGCCGAGGTCAGCCTGACAGCCCTGCTCACCCCACCTGCTGGAGGTGAATGGCAGGTGAGAAAGGTGACTGGCCCCCTGTGGCTGCTTCAGTACAGCTGGTGGCGAGATATCACTTGAGGTTTGTAAGCCCAACTAGCTGGCAGACACACTATATTTCTCATTCTCAATATTTGCTTTCTCAATATTTGGGGATCTTTTCCCATCCAAGACTAATTAACATAAGAAACATGTTTAAATCATCAACCATGTTGTACCGTAACTGGGACTAGAAATCCCCCTTACTGTAAGACTTTCAGTAATTCAGTCTATGGTGTATCATACAATACTTAATTTTAGGATCACACCATTCCCGACTTCATCACCTACATACCCCACTGGTACACTTTGTGCCTCACTTTTTACTTGCATAGCATTATGACCAAAATGGTGTGAACAAAAAACCCTTTTATCACATAATTAGCATTGAACTACAGTTAGTGTATTTTCCTGCAAGCTGAGCATATTCCAGCATTAAAAAGATGGTAGAACTGCTAAGAAGCATGCAGTGAAAAACATAAAACAGACATAATACTACAAAGCACCAACATATGTAATTGATAGCTACAGATTCAGAGTATCTGCTGTTCAAGTACTTCACCCTAAAGTTCCACCATACAATCTAGCAGAAAATGATATCCCAACCATTTTTTCCCAGCTGGACTGAGCTGTCAATGGCATGAAATACACAGCCATCTGAAGGATGGGATGGGCTATGCAGTCCATTTTGAGGTACACAGCTTGATAAGTACTATTAATACCTTGATTCCTCCAGGTTGTTTGCACACATGAGGCACAAGGTGACATGTAAACTATTCAAAAGGTATCTAAGGAATCCTGCTACTTGCAGGCTATCTGTGATCATTACATCACCCCAAACAACAACATTTGTTCCTTGGCTTGAGATGGAAATGTTTAAGTATGGAAACATTCTGGCAAGCATAATTCAGGGCACACATGCCATGTAATGCTTTGAGAAATCAGATTGCTGAGAAAGTCCACATTGAAGTACTACATACCATGCAAGCCATAATCAATATGGCAATAAAAGTGAACCGAATGGCCTTCAAAATGACTGCTACATTTATTCTAGGCTCGGCAATGTGATACCAGTATTAACAAAACATACATGCAAGAACAATTCATTGATAACCACGAACCGTCAACGTCGCCGACGCGTTGGCGCCCTCTACCAAGTTACCTATCTGGGTTCTGTTCGGTATCGGATGGCCAGTTTTAGAAAATGCTGACCAACAATCGGTTGTGTTAGTCCAGTGAGTAGTTATTTCTTATTCAGACTCTAAATCAGCGCAAAACTAACGCTTAACGCTCTGCGAGACATCGCAACCCGTTCGAGTTCCGCGGCGCGAATGCCAAGGGGAATCAGTGGAAAGGTATGTAAACAATCCTGAAAGGCACTAAAGAGCAGTCATAAGGCCCAGATATTCTTACTTCACCTGAACAAGACCGTTAATTGTCTTTTTGTGATACATTTTTAGTAACAATTATGCACCTCTTAATTTTCAAGTAAAGCATTGACCAAACACAGTTGTTTTGTTGCATATTTGAATCGGTTAGCCCTTTTCTTGATGTTTTAAGGTCTTACCCAGTCGGCAGAGATAAAAACGGACTAAACAACCGACGGAACTTGTTAATAACGACATGTTCCGAGCATATCAAACTGATACCTACAAAATGTACATCATTCGATACCTTATGGTCAGTGATTTGCCCTGCCCAGCGTAAGGCGATCTGAGATTAGGCCAAAGATCATATATGTCCATTGCCACCCAAATCGTCTGGTGGACAACCGGTTCCCCTCTTAGTAAGGATCTGCAGTAACTAGGCTCGAGGCTGTCTTGGACAACCACATTCTCCCAGCCTTTTGACGTTTCCAGAGCATCACGACCATAGTCTTGTCAAAGGTCATAAAATGTCTTAAAACTACTAACACTGGCTACAGATAATGCGATGCTCCGGGCCTATGAGGTCATTCGTTCGATCATTCGAAACCAAAATGTGCACCTTAAGATACCACATGGTCTATAAGTTGGCCTGTGCAGCCTATAATAAAGTGGCATTATTTCAAAGATCATACAAATTTCAACACCATCGAAGTCGGTTCGAGGAAAACTGCATGCTCCCAGACTTTCGAGCCAATCGTCACAGGCGTTTACTGATCGTTGTGACGTGGTCGATAACTGGACCTTTCCAGAATATGATGACCATTGGTCTGGTGTGGGACCGAATACCTGCTCTCCATATCATTTAAAGAAACCACTCGCCAGGAACCACCCGACCTTCGCTCATCTGACGGTCGTTTATTTTGGGAGCCAGCCGCACCGACGGGTGCCTTGTTTGCAACGAACGCTGTTCTATACTGGGGACTTGAAATACAACTCTCGGTTGGATCTCTCTCTCTCTCTCTCTCTCTCTCTCTCTCTCTCTCTCTCTCTCTCTCTCTCTCTCTCTCTCTCTCCTCTCTCTCTCTCTCTCTCTCTCTCTCTCTCTCTCCTCTCTCTCTCTCTCTCTCTCTCTCTCTCTCTCTCTCCTCTCTCTCTCTCTCTCTCTCTCTCTCTCTCTCTCTCTCTCTCTCTCTCTCTCTCTCTTCTCTTCTCTCTCTCTCTCTCTCTCTCTCTCTTTCTCTCTCTCTCTCTTCCAAAGGGCTTAAACCACCAAAATTACCTTCAAATTATGTCAAACTTTAGGTCTATGAGACCGATCACCATGGTAGTTTTACAAGTCTATACGCCATAGCCAGCAACCCGTCATTTTGAAATTATGGCGACCTTGAGTACGATTAATCTGAAATATTCGCTCGTGGGCTGCTGACGCCTCCTGCCACTGTGGCTCGGGCAGCATGCCGGTCTGCAAGGGTCGGTGCAAGGGTGCTCACTGCTGTCAGGCATCACGGGCATATGAGCAGTTTAGCGTGCCCGGGGTTGAGATTGGGGGTGGGGGCAATTTGCCCCTCAACTGGAGGTCTACCAAAAAATCAGGCCAGCATGGCGCAGTCGCACCAAACTTTGTAGGGCTCCAAGCCATGGAATAGCCGATCTTTTGGTTATGGATGTACCTTGTAAAATCCCTGACTCAAGAAAGGTCAAAGTCTGCATAGCAGTCAGCTGGCAGGGAAAGCAATTCCTAGGAAATCCTTCCATCTGATGCCGAAACGGAGTGTTGACGAATCCAAACGTTTTCGAGATGTTTACTTAGACAATAAGACAATCAAAATTAGGCACACAACTGATACGATCGACCTTAAGCATGCGTTTTAGGCTAAGGTCAAAACCGAATCGCTCTTTTACTGGATACCTTGGTTGTGGGTAGCTTTTGACGCTGATTTCAAATCGCTGGAGCACAGGGACGTCGACAGACATGTCATTCGAGCTGCACAAGGTTGTCAGTTCTTATTCGAATTGACACAAAATCACCCCAATGAGCTTTTTGCTCTTGGGACTATACCGCCTAGCGTAGTCCTTGACGCTTATCTGAACTCAAATATCGAACCAATCTCAAGGGTTTTTGGTCGCCATGGCCTCCTAAAATCAAATAGGATCACTGAAATAATATGGACATCCGCGAAGTTTAAGTTAGAAGAGGTATCTAAGTTCAAGTTTTGCATGAAGAGGTCTGAAAGCACTTCAAATGCCAATCTAGAGTTTGACCTTGTATGACCTTACTGACCCGAAGGTGGACCTGTGGATTTACAAATTTGGCATAAGTGAATTCACATATAGGTCTACCTATCCAGTGAATTTGGTGTTTATAGCTCCACCACTTGGTGTGGTCACCAAATTGACCCCACCGTGCCCAACCTTAGCATGTTGCATTCAACCGGCCACCCGGGCGCCTGCTAAGGGTAAACGCTTGGTTTTGGTGGAGCAGACTACAAGGAATTTATCTGACCCTATTGGATTTTTGGGCAACACTTTCTCACCCAGAGATCGACCTCACCTCAGGTAATCAACGGTCAGAAACGTTCAAAGTAATAGCCGCCCTAAAGCGCCGCAAGGGAGAGTGATAGTGGGAGCCGCTGCGGCTAACGCGGCAGACATCTATCATGACTGGGAATTGGATGTATTGCTATGCCGTACATGCCGCACATAAGTATGCCGTTATGCTGTATAATACGCACGTGAACACAAAGCTCTATCAATACGCATCACAAGAGTATGTCACAATTGAGGAAGGGGGAGTGACAGCTGTACGTACATACATTGATGCTGTAGATACAGACATATTCTTCCCATAATTGTGCAGCTCATGGACCAACGCTTGAAGTTT